ATATATATCAGTATACTGTGTGTGTGTATGTATGTATGTATATATATATTAAAAAAAATAATAATTTTGGATTGGATTTAATCTGTAATGTACCTCACTGTATGTGCCAGGACTGTACAGGTGATCAAGCTCATCAGTAAGGACAGCATCGAGGACTGTATCCTGCAGCTCGGTCACAAAAAACTCAAGTTAGAACAAGACATGACTGCTGCTGAACAAGGTGAGAGAACATCTACACATGAAAACATTACCCTTTGTTTTCACTTGTGCACTAGTGCTTATAATGAATACATTAAAGTGATGAAATCTCACTTTTCCGAAGTAAATATTGGAGTAATTTATATCATTTTTGCTTTTGTGACAAATTTTTTGGTCCATACGAACACAACAGTCTTTTTTTGTTTGTTTGTTTGTCTTTAAGTATTTTCTCTGAAAACATACAAAATAATAAATTATTTTTGAAGTTTATTTTCAGAAAATGTTTGATAATCAAATGTTTTCAGCCTGTTTAAAAATAAAAGTATTTAATGGGAAACATTTCTAAAATGTTTAAAGGTTAAAAAATGAATTGAGTCTGCTTGTTTTTTGTGTATAAATGTCTAATAATACATCTGAGGACTCTTTCTGCTCTAGTCTGTCATCAGACAGATGTTTGTATGCAAATTGTAAAAAAACAATTAAATATTGGATCAAATTAAAATGTTAAAAATAGCAAAATATTTAAGTACAAATCAGAAGATCTGAATTAGTTTAAACCAAATAGGTCAACTGTTTGTTAATAAATTGTTTAATGTTTTGTTTTGGGTTTTGTTTGTTTGTTTGTTTGTTTGTTTGTTTGTTTGTTTTAGGTGTTGAGGGGACCATACCTGAAGACATGGCATCTTTGCTCAAAGCCTCTCTGGGACTGTGATGCATAAATGCATCAACCTTGAAACTGAAGTTTTTTTTCCCACTCTTGTAGGTAGTCTACTGCAAACCGGTTGTACAGAAACTTTGCCTAAAACACTTTTACCTACGCACAAACTAAACATCATGATTGCCTTTAAGTATTATACACACCACATCATCTGCAGTTAACAAGCTGCCRTTAAATCCTATAGCTTCACACAGTTTTTGTGTTTATTATAGACATGAGATAAAGTCAAGATTCTGTCAAAAGTAACATTTCAGTATCTTTTTTGATGGAGGAGTTTCCTCTAAACTTGGACATGGGTGCTAAAAAATACTGCTAACGCTGAAACTAGCAAATCTCTTAGATATTTGGAGTCTTTTTCACTGAAATGTTGGGMTTTTTTTGTCTGTCATATTTAAATATTCTTATCGGCAAACATGATTTGACTTTCTCTAATTAACCACATGCTTGTTTGGGTGTAGCCAATGGCTTTTGAAGATGTGTTGCTGGAACATCGGACACAAATTTCAGAAATAAGTTGATGTGTGTGTGTTTTGTAGATGTGTTCAGTATGTTGTAAGTGTATGTGTTTTACTACAAGTTTTTTTCCAAGTCCTTTTGTATGTTTTCAGATTCATTTTTGAACTGATAAATATTTGAAACAAATTGTTTCTGTCTTATCTGCTGTAATTTAACAGTAGAAAACAACATTTTTATATAAGCATGAAACATGTTTTATGATGACTTTTCTGATGGTATATTTTCAGGTGCAGTTGCATTTAACATATGGCTAAAGTTTCCAAATAAAATGTTTAGAATTTTTCATTCCATTTGATTCGCTAATTTTACATAGAGATCCAAATAAAGTTCTTACCTTTAAGGCTTAAACTGAAATGGTATATTGTGAAAAGTTTGATTTCATTTACCGATTTCATTTACAGATAGTTTCAATTTTAAAGAAACTGGATGGGTTAAAGATCTGTTTTATTATTGTCTGTGGTACAGGTACTGAATGCAAAAATACATTTTAAATAGATGTACTTCAAGAAACTTGCACACAATACAACTGACATTTTGTTTTCATAATTATCATTTGGTAGTCAGTTTGCCTTACCAATAAGAAATCCCTGAGTATGTGCATTGGTAATAGTAGAAAAAGATCAATTCTTACTGTTCCCCCCTGCTACCCTGTTAATGCTTAGTCAGTTCTTTATCTGGTCTCCAGAGGGCAGCAAGTATTTTCTATATACGATAGTAGGAGTTGATTGCCCTCGCACTGCTGGATATGGACACCAGTGACCCCCATGACCCTGAAAGGAAGAAGCAGGTATAGATAATGGATGGATGGAGGTTGATTGCAGCTCTAGTGCAGTCTGTTGCACCAGAAGTTGGAGGCAGGGCTTAAAAGGCTGAATTTCAACTGAAACTCTTAAGACTGAGAAAGTCTCTTGGAGGAGAGACGAAACGGTTCACTAAAGAAGAACCCATCCAGAGGACCTATTTATTTTTTCTTTTTGATACCTGTGCCTATGTTTGTTCTGAGCCATTGCAACACAGATCTGCATCTGTGGTGAGCTTGACACGGTCTTGGTATGTGCATCCAAAACTAAGGTTTGTGGCTGGTCCCTCACGTGACTCAACAGTATTTTCCTAAAAGTTAGGTTTTTGGACTTGATGTTGACACAACCAGGACGGATTGGTGCTGCATCTGCAGTGATGCGGGTGCTGTACCGGTCTGTCGTGGTGAAGCGGGAGCTGAGCCAGAAGGCGAAGCTCTCAGTTTACAGGTCGGTCTACGTTCCTACGCTCATCTATGGTCACGAACTTTGGGTAGTGACCGAAAGAACGAGATGACGGATACAAGTGGCCGAAATGAGTTTCCTTCGCAGGGTGTCTGGGCTCTCCCATAGGGTGTGAATCTCAGTCATCCAGGAGGGACTCAGAGTAGAGCCGCTGCTCCTCCGCGTCGAGAGGAGCCAGTTGAGGTGGCTTGGGCATCTGGTTAGGATGCCTCCAGGACGCCTCCCTGGTGAGGTGTTCAGGGCATGTCCCACTGGAAGGAGGACCTAGGACACGCTGGAGAGACCATGTCTCTCAGCTGACCTGGGAACGCCTTGGGATTCCCCCAGACGAGCTGGCCCAAGTGGCTGGGGAGAGGTAAGTCTGGGTCTCTGCTTAGGATGCTGCCCCCGCGACCCGATCCCGGATAAGTGGCAGAAAACGGACAGACAACCAGGACAAGAATATATCTTGTAATGTTTTATGTCCTGACTCATCCTAACTACTTTGCCATCTATAGGTTCTGGCAAGCCAAGGAATGTGACTTTGTTGTTATAAAGTAGTGAAGGGGAAATCTTGATCTATGAATAGCAGCCAGATGAGTAATGGTACTTTCCTGCCACTTCTTTAAAGTGAAAGTGTAATCAAGTTGAGCTCTACAATATCTGCCCTCTTTTCTTCTAAACCTCTCACACAAGCTTGGGTTATGAAAAAAAAAAGACGCATAGTGAGCTGGGGTCAGATATCTAAAGGATTACGTGGAAGCCGTACTAAAAGTGAATGTACGGCCAAAACGTGAAAATGGCGTATGCCAAAAAAAATTTCAGATTTATAAAACCGTGCGTACGCATGTTTCTGCGCACCTTTCCTTTATAGATCACAGCCGCACCTCTTGCGCAGAAGGTCACACCTCAGGTTCCACCCTCTACACACCCACACTCAACCATAAACTGTCAATGCAAAGTACCTCATGAATGTTAAGATGTATTTAAATCAGCTGATCAATGCCAACAAAATCGACTGGCTCAGACACATCGTGCATCTAGAGGATGACAGCTGCTCATGTGAACAGAATGTAATTGACACAGATTTTCCCTCATTTTGCAGGTTTACAGACGTTTAAAGTAAACTAAAGAATTTAAAAAAAGCTCAGCTTCAAATTAATTTTCTCTCAGAGCCTGCAGGATGACAATAAGTAAAATGAAATAAGTCAGATAAAGTCAGAAATAAGTTCACCGCTCTTCTACCCCATCCTCCCCCCTCCTATGGAAGCGATTGTGTTCCATAATCCTAATTAAAATGGATTAATAGAAATGCTGTTTCATTTTCAACATGTACCTGATTTTTTTGACTCATAAGTAAAATTATAAATACATAATCCAAACTGTATGGTAGGGGCACCTCGAGTGAAGAAACAGGAGTTCCAGCCTCAAAGCAGGCCTCGCACAGGCCTGAGA